GTTTTCTGTTCTGTTTTAACAGAAAATAAAAGGAGTGTAAGCTCCTTTTCTCATTTCAAAGTTGCTACCAGTGTATGCAGTAATTAGAACAAAGAAGAAACATTCAGTAGAACATTTTATTGCCTAGTTGACAACATTGCTTGAATGCTGGTGGTTCCTATCCCTTTGACACTACACAATTTTCTAATATGTGTTAATGCTACGTGAAAAAAATGCCCTGATTCCTAGTGCCAAAGGTTCAACTTAATGTATATACCTGAAAACCCATGCATTTGTGCTCTTTTTTTTTTTTATGGTGCTTGAAGTAAAACAGCCCATCCTCTGCAAGTCCATCTCTGTTGTTCTTAGGCATTCTATCTTTGCTCAAATTGTTGAAGGATGGTGATTTGTTTCATGGTTTTTGTATTTGAGTCTAATGCAGGTTCTAAAATGATAGAGGCAATGCATTATTGTGTAGCCACGGTTTTCTGGAAAAGCTGATATTTTAGGAATTGTATTTCAGATCTTAAATGAAATTTGTTTCTAAATTTCAAAGCAAAAAAAAAAAAAATAATAAAATCATCCGGTGGGGAAGGGGAGAAAACGTGGATGGGGTATAGTTGAAATAGCACTGACCAGGAGATGGTGATTGTTAAAGCTGGGTGCGTAAATGGCAGTTCCCTATACTTTTCCTTTGTTGTATAAGCATAAAATTTTCAGTAATGAAAGGTTTAAGACATTAGACAAAAGAACCTTTACTTGGAAGTTTGCATCATCAACACTTTGTCTCATTAAGTCCCCCTTTTGGCTTTTGTTTTCCATAGAGTAAGCCTAAATTTTTGTTAACAACAGTTTGGGATTTTAGATATTTATTATTAAAAGGTTTTTTAGAAAGGCAGAGGTGGAAATATTATGCCTATGGCCATCTTCTGATTTCTTTTTACTTCTTTTTTTCTTTTAACAAAGAACTATTTGCTTATTTGTTGGCTTTTTACTTAGAACATTTAACAAACCATATTAGTGAATGGCGTATAAAATGTGCTTATTATTTAAAACTTAAATAATATAAAATAGGAATTATATAAGCATATTCTTCTGTTTTAATATCTAGAACTGATTTTGTTCCCCCCGAGACTGCTGTTTTTGTTCTTTGCTGATTTATTGATCTGAGACTAGAATCATCGTTGAAACAAAACTGACCTTAAAGGCAACATGCTATCACATTGCTTGACTTTGTGAAATTTTCTAGCTGAAATTCAAATGATAGCTGGTCTAACAATTTTTTCTTAGTAAGTAGAAATCTTACATTTCAGTATTACTCTATTCCAGCAAATTACACATATATCTTTTCACAGAGCTCATGAAATTTTGATGATGGCTAAAGCACAAGATATTGAGTTGCTTAATCGATTTGAGTTAATCTTTAATATTGACATCACATGCCATTATGTGACTCTCTGCTCAGGAGATGGCTTTCCGCTGGTAGATTATTTGCTTTCATTTTGCTGCTCATACTTCTAATTTTCTATTGCTAAATAGGGAGGCAAGCCAGTGATTTATACGTTTCTAACTCTGTACATAGCTTAATTAAGAAAGGTTGAAATTATCATTAAGATGCTTTAGAATTATCTGCGAATTTTATTTATATATTAGCCCTATTAGAAATAGGCATTATTAATTGAGAATGGAGTATAATTTTTAGCTACTTTGCCAAACGCAATAAAAATAACCTATTTACTTTTTCCAAAACTGGGTAGCTGGATGTGGATATCTTTCAGAAGCAGTAGGGTCCTTACAGGACATGTGCTTTCATGCTACTAATTTTCATGACTTGCAGCCACAGAAAAATAATTATTTTTAAGTGGCCAGCATTCATGTTGAAAATGAGCCCATTTTTCTTGGCCATCAGAATAACCATTTCCCTTGAACTATGATAATCAGTTCTGACATACTGCTTTGAGCCTTTTCTCCTTCTGCATTTCAAGAAGGTTAAACATTATTGAGCATAAACCTTTGTCCCAGGAGTTTAGAAGGGCAAAAATTATACATTCAACCGGAACATATACTTTAAAGTGGATTTCTGTATTCATTCAGCTCCTGGAGTTTTAACAAAGAGGTATCTGAAAAATCATTAGCCAAGTTTCTTGCGCACACGCCTCCCCTCCCTTTGCTCGGTGCTTTTTTGGTCTCTGTGAAACTAAACATTAGCCACCCGTTTAATAAAATATGAATGAATTAGGCAAGCTTGATTTCTTCCACTAATGGCAAATATAGAGAGGAGAGTAGGGGACAAGGGCCTAGTTTTGCAGAGCCCGTATAGTTATGACCTGTTGGTGTCCTCTGGATGTGTTGTAGTCCCTTTCACCTGGGAAAAGTCTTTTCTTTGCTTGTGTATTCCTGCCTTGGCCCTCTGAGCTTCTGATGGTTTGTCCTCTCTGTTTGGTCCCTCCTTCCATCCACAACTTCCTCTTGGATGGATCCCTCTGAATATGAGCTTAAACTAGCTCCCTCTGTCTCTCTGGATTCATAACTGGCCTCCCAAAAGCATGTGCCATGGAGGGGCAGCTCGATGCCAAGCAGGCCTTTTATTCTGGCCACAGTCTTTCCCCTTAGAGTCCTTTGGTAAGAGTCGTATTCTAGTCACATGTTCCTTAAACTCCGGGAGAGACATGTTTTGCATTTCAAGGCATCTCCTTGAACCCCGCTCCGTTGGTTTAAGGCATAGGATATGCACACCAACCTCTCTTCTAGGAGGAAATGCTCAAGGCATCATTAGATTTCTCCAAAACAACCTCTCCTGCTAGTTTCTGGCTTTGTCTCCCTCTCATAGAGTGGTGATGGACTCACGTTGCTCTAACCTGTGTCACACTCACCTAACATGGTCCTCATAGATGGTTTAGCACAGGGCATTTCATACTGGTCTTCGGTTCACATCACACTGGTGACATATTATGTGAGTTCAGCAGCACCTGAAATAGTCTGTTCAACAAGACAAGTCTGTTGACCAGTTGTACTTCCAAAGTGATGTCAGATTATTCTAAAAGTCTCTAAATACTTCCAATTTCTGTATTTATCTTCTAGCAAACCAGTAAAAACAGTTCTCAGACTGGCACTTGTCCATGGGCATATTTTGAGTTGTACTGTTCCAACACTTTCCTTTAGGATTTGGGGATAGTGGCATTTATTGGGTTGTTCCCAGCCTGTGGGATATCAGTTGAAACTGACTAAAAAACTTCTAATTTGATATCCTGTTATAATTAGAATAGATTTTCATTAATTCCACATGTTTATTAAGCATTTACTCTGTGCCACAGATCTCATAAAAACAAAAACAAAAATAACTGTGTTTATTTACTTATTTATTTAGAGATGGAGTCGTGCTCTGTCACCCAGGCTGTAGTGCAGCAGTGCAATCTTGGCTCACTGCAACCTCCGCCTTCCAGGTTCCAGCGATTCTCCTGGCTCAGCCTCCTGAGTAGTTGGGATTACAGGTGGCTACCATCACGCCCAGCTAATAATTTGTATTTTTTTTAGTAGAGATGGGGTTTCACCATGTTGGTCAGGCTGGTCTTGAACTCCTGACCTCAGGTGATCCGCCCACCTTGGCCCCCCAAAATGCTGGAATTACAGGCGTGAGCCACTGCACCTGGCCACATAACTATTTATATTGTGCTAGGGAGGTGATAAGTGTTATGAAAAAAATACTTCTGGTAAGGGGGAAGATAGTGTTGGGGTGGGATGATGGGTTTATATTGCACAGTCAGGGAACATTCTTTGATAAGGTGATATCTGATCAGAGCCAGGTATCTGGGTAAGAACCTTTTAGGCCAAAAGGTCTTGTTGCCCAGGCTGGAGTGCAATGGTGCGATCTCGGCTCACAGCAACTTCTGCCTCCCAGGTTCAAGCAGTTCTCCTGCCTCAGCCTTCAGAGTAACTGGGATTGCAGGCATGGGACACCAGGCTCGACTAATTTTGTATTTTTGGTAGAGACAGGATTTCTCCTTGTTGGTCAGGCTGGTTTTGAACTCCTGTGACCTTAGGTGATTTGCCCACCTTGGCCTCCCAAAGTGTTGGGATTACAGGCATGAATTGGCCATTATTTGCTTCCTAATTTGTAGGCATGTTTTACCTTGATACAAATACAAGTCAATTTAAAAATGAGTGGGGAAAAAATGATGGGGAGATAAAGACATGTAAAGAGCTTTTGTAAATTACCCTTTAAAGGAGTTTGCCTAAGAAGAGACTAAGGAATTTAGGCAGTAAGCCAGGGAGGTTGTAGGATTCAGAAAGGTCTTTGTAACATAAGAGACATTTGAGATATTTTAGGAAGAAGAAAAGGGGCCTTTCCTGGGCCTGGACAGAATGCAGGTGAGGGTAAGGGTAGAAGTGGATACATTTGGGGATAGCTAGAAGTTGTTAAAAAAAAAAACAGTGCTGAGAACCCAGTTGCTGTTCGATGGTTGGACATTTGTTGAGGGATTAAGCTGCTTGGTTGAGTAGTGTTGTCAAAGCATGTTCCAGCCATTTAGAATTGGGAGTTAAGGCGAATGTTTGAACTGATCCAAGATATAGGGTAGATTGATAGCTCTAGAGGAGGTGGCTGGAATATTGATGTCAAGAGAATGCTTGAAATGATGCGTCATGGGGCTTGATGAGGAAGAACAGGAAATCTTAATGGCAGTCATGGGTCTGACCAGGAACAGAGCATTAGAGGTCTGGATTAGCTTGAAGAGGAGTGAGAGAGCTGGAGAGCCAGAAGTTGGAGGTCACAGTGTTGGATTACAATGAGAGTTCTCAGAATTGGTTTAGTACCAGGTGATGTCATCATCCAGAATGGGGCCATGGCATGCTGCGAGAGAGAAGATAAAGATTATTTGAGCTCAGGAGGTGAGGAACTTTTGTGGCTGAGGCGTTGGCTGGCTCATCCACATGTATGTGGAAATCTTCCAGCTGACTACATTCAAGGTGGAGAAGAAGCAATGAGTCAGGTTCCAAAGTCCTCAGCAAATGAGGGGGTGTGGCCAGAGGTCAGACAGTGACAATTCAGGGAAAGGAAGACAGTAGCATTGGATGATGGTTCCCCCTCACAGAGGAACAGGATTTCGATGAGACATGCAGGAGAAGCAGCAGCCTCTGCTGGAGGGATGCAGAGGTACGGACAGCAGGCACTTAACAAATACACGTGGAATGACTGAGGTAAGACAAGCAGTGGAGATGGCACTTTTGTGAGGAGTTAGAGCTTTCTAACAATGAAATGAATGTTCCAAAGGGCACCTAGAAAAGAGTTGACTAGGAGGGCAGTAGTGGATAAACTACAGAGTAGCAAAAGGATGATTGTCTTTAAGAAGAGAGTTGCCCACAGGGCTTGAATTTCCGGTAGTGTACAAGCATGGTAGGGAGAAGTGGTGTGGGTGGTGGATGAGTTCACCTGTGCTAGGATTCCAGCAGCTCTCGGGATGGGGCCAAGGGTAGCCACAGAGAGCCCTCTGCCATTGATACCAATAGTCTGTAGCCTTTGCTCCTAGCTGGATGATGTGTCCATGAGACACTCTGGTTTGTCTTTAG